TGTCTGGGCATCCTTTTGGAGCCGTCTTGGGGGCCTCTTGGGCCGTCTTGGAGGCCTCCTGGGCAGTCTTGGGGCTCTCTTGGGTCGTTTTGGGGCCCTCTCGGAGGCCTCTTGGGCCGTCTTGGAGCGTCGGGAAGCCGAAAAGGCGATACTCCCAACATCTATCAAATACCGTTTGGGAAAATCACTAATTTTTGCCTCTTCGGGCCCTCGTGGGAGTGCTCTTGGAGGCCTTTCGGCGCGTCCTGGAAACCTCTTGGACCGTCTGGAGGCTATTTTAGCGTCTTGGACCGATAGTTCGGCGATTCGGGGCCCTCTTGGGCCGTCTCGGGGGTCTCTTGGGGCAGTCTTAGTTCGTCTTGCAGTGTTTTGGGCTTTGGGATCCATTGGAGAGCGGGGACCCCCCCCCCCCCGCACCCCCCCTGGTCTCCCCCAGGATCCCCCCACCCGGGGACCGCTCCCCCCTTTCGGCGGGGCAGAGGTCAAGGGAAGGGGCTTCCCTCCAAATGAGTTGCGAGGTTCGTTAATGTCGGTTTGACCCGCACGCGGAAAGTGACAGGCCCAGGATGAGAGAGGCAACGGCTGGCGCGTTGGAGGAGGAGTCCCAGGAGACAGCTTGGATTGGCGACGGCGACGACGACGACGACGACGACGAAACGACGAATGAAACAGCGACGCCTGTGGATTTTCACGTGTCCCAGTCGAGTGTGGAGCAGGGCATGCGTGAGCGGTGCGCCGAAATGGCAGCGTCTTAGCCAATTCGACAGTCCCAGGGGCAAGCCGTTGATGGACGGTCCCAGGGCCAGGCGATAGCCCCCCCCCCAAAAAAAGGTACAACAACACACCCGCCGTGATTCTTCACGACGCGAAGGGGAGTCTGGGCCTATCGTGCCCAGGCTCCCCCAGTAGTCCGGGGCGGTCCCAACTCAACCCTGGGGTGCGGAGCACCCCTGGGGCGCCGCCGTAGGCGGCGCCAGGGTGTTGGGACCGCCCCGGACTCTTCGGGGGGCTCGTGGAGGCCAGCCGCACTACCCGCAACCTCACCAGGGGGCATCTTGAGAAGCGGCAGGCCAGTATTGTTTGTCCGATACCCATCCCCACCGGGCCATGGTATCTTCAGCCCCGCCATCCCACCACCCCAGTCGGGGATAGGCACCTCGGAACCCGCAGAGCACCGCCTACATCCCATGTGGGAGCTTTGATCCGCCAGAGGGGCCCAGGCCACGCCAGTGGGGCTAGGGATCGGTGCAACGATGCTCCGCAGGGGCCAACCGGCGACCTCCCGCCGAGGACCAGTGGGGGCGCACGCCGCTGCACGCCGCCGCGGGAGCCGCCGATGCCCCCGAGGCTCGCGCGCTGCGCCCGCCCTCTCTGCCAGCCCGCCGGCCGCTCTGGGCCACATTCCTTGGCGTAGCCCGCGTGCGCCTGGCGTCCTCCTCAGGCAGTGGCGGGGCGCCTTGGCGTGCCCTTGTAGGCCCACCAGAGAATGGTCTGAGAGCTTTTTTTATGGTTTGCACAGAGTGTTCTGAAAACATGCTTAATTAAAACGGTTTTGGTTTAATGCATCGGGTTTATACCATAAGAACCGCATGTCTGACTTTGCACTGTTCAGAGAGGCTGTGCCGGAACGGTCGGTCCCTGGTCAACGGGCGTCCAGACCGAGGGAGGGAGGAGGAATGCAAGGCGACGAGATCTACATCCGTTCCACCGCCCCTGGCCCGGCCCATCCCTGGCCCTGGAGCGATTGCGTGTCTCCCTGGCCAGTCCGGGAGGGTAACTTGCGCCGCTCCTGGGCCCGGGATGGGCCGGGCGGGGGGCAGTGGCTTGGCATCGCTCGGACGTGTGCATTTTTTCTTCGGTGGGGACCATCGAGGAGCATCCTTGATCATTTGGCGAATAAACCACGCACGAAACCGAAAAAAAAAGGGAATGGACGTCCGAGCGATGGCGAGATGGATGTGTATGGACCTCGTCGCCCTAGAATGAAGTGACAAACGAGGCCAAGGCAGCGCAGAGCACGACGCTGCGTGGCACCGCGGACAAGGGAGAGGTGGGCAGTGAGATCCAACAGGGGTTAGGACGGCGGGGGGGGGAGAGGGCGAATCGGGCCGTCGTGGGCCGTCCAAAAGTTCTCTTGGGCCGTCTTGGACCTCTCCGGTACGAAGAGGAGGAGGAGGAGAACGAAGCGGACGAGGATGAGGGGGTAGGAGGAAAGGGAGGGATGACGAAGGGATTGGGAGCATGATGAAGGAAGAGGACCGCTGAGGAGGGAGGAGGAGGAGGAGGAGGAGGAGGAGGAGGAGGAGGAGGAGGAGGAGGAGAAGGATGGAGGAAATTGGGGGACATGAGCAGAAAGAGGAAGAGGAGTGGGAAGGCCGGGGAGGGATGAGGACAATACAGTCGTTTGTTGATTCAACGATGTCCGACGAAGGGTAGTATCAAGGAGGTGCTGGATAGCACCAGCCCTGGGCCGCCTTAGCGCGCAGTGGCGGTTACATGCGCGAGCGTTCGTTGTTTGCACCATTTTCGCGAGGCCCCCGTTCCGTCATTTTCCGAGTCGCTTGGTCCTCGAGCTTGTCCACACAACCAGATCTGCACAGTTGGCAGAATCCGCGCACTGGGATGGCGATCCCCACGCGTTGGCTCTAGATGCAGACACCGACAACCCAACCGAAGACCTTCGCGCTGTGAGTCCTGTCGCGACCCGTTTGCCACTCTCGGCCTCCCAGCCCCCCTCGCGCCGTGGGGAAACTGACGACGGTGAGTCTTTCGCTGTGTTCGGCCTCCGAGGGCCCTCCTCGAGCCCTGGCCCCATCGGAATAATACGTTGCCCCCCGCAATTGCGGACGCGAGTGAGGAGGGCAGCGGGGTCGTCGGCAGTCTGCGAGGCTCTGAAAAAAGCCCGCCGCAGGCGCCGACATTTTACATATTATGTAACGAACCCGCCGCAGGCGCAGATTTTTTCGTGGGTGTGTCGCGGGGTGAGTCGCGGGCGGGTCGCGGGCGAGGACGACGACAACATCGCAACAGCAACAGCGCAACACCAGCAACGTAACAACAACAATCCGCACCGCGGGACCTCACTGCAGCCACGCGCCCAAGGACAATGAATGACCGTTCGGCCCCCTCCTTTTGACCCAGGATGAAGAGCCAGTCGCTGTGAGTGGTTCGGGCATTCTCGTGAAAACCGGGTGAGCCTTGACTCTCCAGTCAGACAGGATATGCTGCGGGCCTGAGAGAGAACATGCGACATGGTGCCACTGTACATCAGACTGTCGATGACTTGCTGAAAAGCATTGTGTTGTGTTTAGTCTGCACGTTTTTTTTCTTCGGCTTTGGCCTCTGGGATCAGTTTTCGGGCCCTGGGGGCCATCAAGAACGGAAATGGGGCGAACATTTTCCCCTAGGGCAGGGGTCGGGAACTCTGGGGCAGCGGATACAACAAACTCAGATCGGCTGGGGCCTGTAGAGGACCGTGTTTTGGAAAGCCTCGTTTGGACCAGGGTGTGTGCTCGAGGCCTTAGGCCATCGTATCATTGCCTTCCCCCGTTCAGACAAGTCTCGCTGGACCTGTTCTTTCGCATGTTTTGTAATTTTACACCAGTGGAGGTCAAGTCAAAGGCCTGGGTGGCAAGTGCCGCCCCCGAACGACAACGGGTAAGAAGAACTTAAGTCGTCTCCGCAAGGGCCAGCTTCCCGATGAAGTTGGGGGTATCAGCTTATATTGATGAACTCATCCCACTTTAGCAATTACAGGCAGATTTTTTTTCTATGCTGCAGCTCGCCCCTGGCTCCAGCTCAGGCCCTCTTTTAGGGGCCTCGGGTGCTGCTGCCAAAACAAGTGGGGGCGCTCTGGTCAGGGGGGGGGTCCAGACGTGGCCGCGGGTCCCCGGAGGCCTTCCGCGCCTCGCCGAGGGAGTTCCTGTGGCGGCCGGATGGTCCCGAGCTGTCGCCATGGGACCCAGGCCGTGAGCTGCAAGCCGGACGTCGAGGATCACCAAGGAGGGGAGGCGGGGGGGGGGGGAGGGGAGGAGGGGGAAGGGCATGGAGGGAGGCATTCCCAGACTCAGGCGTCCTAGAGGCACCTCGAGGGCCAGGATGCCCTAGATCCCCCTGGAAGTCCCAGGAGGCGCATCCCCGCCCAGTCCTCCAAGGAGAGGTCACCGGCCAGAAGCAGTCCCAGGACGCCCTTTTCCGAGACGCTTCCAAGAACTCCCCCACCCCAGTAGAAAACTCCAGTCGGGGGTGGGCAGACCTCCTACCCTGACACGTCGATTAAGGAATTGGCCGTTTTCGGTTCGCGAGAGGGCGTCGCGGCCGTTATTTTGGCGGGTCCAGGTCCGTCGGTTTCGGTCCCAGGCCGCTTTTCTTTAAGGGGAGGTTTACCAAAGGGAGGTTTGTCCACCGCCGATCCAGGGTGCCTCCCTCCCCCGCCCACCCCCCGTCCCTGATGGGCGGCTGTGCTGTTTGTTGCCGCGTGCCCCGCGCGTGCACCCATCCGTCGGTTGGGCCCCGAGAGGCAGTCCTCCCGGGCGCTGTTTTTTTGAGTGTCGCCCGCCGCCCCCCGCTGTGCCGGACCGCAGGTCTTCCAGGGTCGGCGGCACTCGCAGCGGAGTGGACTTGCCCCGAGGGGCCTCTTGCAACACACCCTCCCTCCTCCTCCTCCTCCTCCTCCTCCTCCTCCTCCTCCTCCTCCTCCTTCTCATCCTCCTCATCCTCCTCATCCTCCTGATCCTCCACATCCTCCACATCCTCCCCCTCCCTCTCCCTCTCCTCCTCCTCCTCCTCCTCCTCCTCCTCCTCCTCCTCCTCCTCCTCCTCCTCCTCCTCCTCCTCCTCCTCCTCCTCCTCCTCCTCCTCCTCCTCCTCTCATCCTCTTTCTTCTCCCTCCTCTCCTCCCCCTCCTTCCTCCCCCCCCTCCTCCCTCGCTCGTCCTCCTCCCTCCTCCTTCAGCCTCCTCCGAGGGGGGAGGACGCCCCCCTGCGCGGCCGGCCGACGAGGTGCGGCGGCTGCTGCAGTGCGGCGAGGACGCCGACGCGGTGGAGGCCCGCCGTCCTCGCCGTCGTCGTCGTCGTCGTCGTCGTCGTTCGTCGTCGTCGTCGTTGTCGTCGTCGGGGCGCGGTTGCCGGGGCCAACGTATTGACAGGATCGATGCTGAGGTTTTTAGCGGTGTTGGGCCTCTGGTGGCCCCGGCCTGGCTGGCCCTGGGGCCTGGTTCGGGGCGCGGAGCCAGCCCTGGAGAAGCGGGGCTTCCAGGGGGGGCCGTATGGGAAGCACGGCATGTCAGATCTTTGGGCCGTGGGCGAGGGGCCAGGCATTGCCCTCGCTTGTCTGCGCTCTTCTGCCCTCGGCCTCCCCGGCCTTCCTATGGCCTTCTTGTGGGCATCGTGCTCGCCGTCATGTGTTTCGCCTTCGGGTTGAGCCTCACCGTGGGCAAATTCCGGGGGTGGCGGGCGTATCTGAAACACCGTTGCAGGTCGACATGCTCAATATCTCTCTTATCCTCTCCCTCTCTCTCTTCTCTGCCCTCCCCTCCCTCTCTCTCTCTCTCGCTCTCTTCGGGTGTTGCTGGAGGTGCCCCTGGGCCGAGGTGCCCCCAGGGCCCCCAGGTATGTCCTCGCGCCTTCCGTTCAGATCAGCACCTCTGCGTTGAAGCGCCGTGCAGGGGTCCGTCCCGGACGTGCCTGATGCTATAGAACCTTTGCGCGAGATGTTCACTTCGTGCTTTCCAGGGGCGCGTCAGTTTGGGCCCCAGGTAAGAGCGCATTCTTGGAAGGGGCCGCCCATTCGTATCGTCCACCGTCGGCCAAGCATCGCGAAGCATTGGGAATGACAGCGGTGCGTTGGGCCGGGGGAGCTGAGCAATTTCGCAGGCATGCGCATGGAGACCAACAGGCGCCGTGTGGTAAACCCTGACACCCGCCGACGTCATTTCTGCGTCGGCCGCGGGCGCGGAACTACATTGTAGGATCTCGTTTAGCGAGCGTTCCTTCGCGCATGAGGGCATGGGCGGGTTTGTCCGTGGAGGAATGTTTCACGGCGTGGCGAAGTATATCAGAGTGAGGGGCCCGAGCGGTCTTACAATGTCCCTGGGTGTGTGGCTGAAGTGGGGATCCAGGGTCAGGATTATGCTTGTTGTTGTTATTGTTGTCGTCGTCCTGGCGGTTTGGTCGCGGCGCGGGTGGGTCGAGGCGCGGGCGGGTCGCGGTGCCTGTGGATCTCGGTTGGTTTGCGGCGCCGATGGGTCGCGAGTGGGTCGCGGGTGGGTTGAGGGCGGGTCGCGCCGTGGGTGAATCGCTCGGTCCCCTCAGTGACCGCTCTCGGGGCCCTCTTGGAGCTGCCTTGGGGCCTTTTTGGAGCCGCAAGGGCCCGAGGGGGGGGGCCCCAAGACGGCTCCAAAAGTGCCCCAAGACAGCTCCAAGAGGGCCCCATGAAGCTCCCAGATCGGTCACGCCAGAGAGGCTTCGCGCGACCGCTCTCAGGGTCCTCTTGGGGCGGTTTCGGGGCTCTCTTGGAGCCGTCCGAGGGCCCTCAGGACGCGCGACGGGCCCAATGGGGCCCCGAAACAGCTCAGGGTTCCAAAACGGTTCCAAGAGGACCCCCAGCGCGGCCACGCGACGCCTCTCTTGCGTGACCGATTTTGAGGCCTTTTTGGCGCGGCCGCTTCAGGCCCACTTGGGGGCCTGTTGGAGCCCCTTCGGGGCCTTCGGAGGAGCCCACACGGGCCCGAAACACCCCTAAGAGGCCCCCATGAGGTCCCACAGAGGCCCCCTGAACCATTTTGCTTCGAGCGATCCCCACCGAAACCTTCGGCGTTTGGCCCCAACGGTGCGCGCGCCTACTGGAAGGATGTGCGCAGTGCCCGGCGGCGTCGGCCGGCGCGGCGGCCGGGCCAGGTCGCAAGTTCAAGTTGTCCGAATTTGAACAACCCCAAAGCCCCTGACGAGGACAACGCCAAACCCGAAACGCTTTTGCGATACCCCAAAACTTGTTCTACGATAGTGTCAACCTCTAAGAGGAAGAAGAGGAACAGCAGCAGCAGCATGAGGAGGAGACGGACGACGAAAGAGGAGGAGGAGGAGGAGGAAAAAGGAGGTGAGGCGGACTTGTCCTTCCTCCTCCTGTTCCTCCTCATTGTCCTTGTTCCTCCCCCATCCTTCTCCTCCTCCTCCTCCTCCAGTCCCTCCTTTTTGCCCTGTTGTTCGTCCTCTTCCCTCATCATGTGCCTCGCCACCCCTTTTTGTTCCCCTCGCCCTCGTCTTCTTCGCTCCCCCGAGCATGCGCTGGGCGCGCGGCGTCCCCGGGCGGAGCCCCCTGGCACGTGGGCATCCGACATCCATGGGTGCACGTTGGCTCATATATGCCACCCGATGATTGGATGTTCTGGTATGATTTGCGATGTGGCACCATGCTATTGCATGATAGGTTGACATACTATGTGGTAGTATGCTATGTACCATTATGCTATTGACGGCCCGGCTCGGTACATATGTTATGACAAGTTCGGTTAGTGTGTGTCGCAATGCTCTGGCGCCCTATCATGATATGCGATGTGACTGTAGCATCAAATGATGTGTGCTTCCATCGTGTGTGATGTCTTGATCGGCTATATGGTGCTATATGGTGTTGTGCCGTTTGGTGGTTTAGCGTGTGTTGCTCTGGTGGGTTATGTGAGGTTGTGCTTGTGGACGGCTCGGAACAGTAACATATATTGTGTTCTGCTCTGTTAGTATGTGGCAAGACGTTACATCGTCGTGTGATATTATGTTCGGCGGTGAAATGCAAGGATATGGGATGTTATGTCAACGTGACCTACACGTTCTCCGGTTATGCTATGTTGCGTTCTGTTAGGTCGCCTTATGTTCTACCATGCTATGATACGATGTGTTATGTGATGGTCCAACGTTGGACTGTCCATGCCATTGCTATGTCATGCCCTGTCATGATCTGGCATGCTCCTTTATATATTGTTAGCTTCTCGTGTTACGCGCTGTGTTCTGGCGTGTTCGCCGCTATGCTCAGCTGTCGTCTTATGATATGGTTGGTGGCGCTGTGTCATGATATGATATATTATGTTAGCGTGCCTTTTGTTATGCTCGGATATGGCTTAGTATGTTGTGTTCTGCCGTGTTCGGTTCTGCCATGCTATGTTCCGGTACGTTTTGCGATATGCTGGTGTCCTCGACTTTGGCATGCGATTATTATGTTATGTTACGCCATGTTCTGTCATGTTTTGTTGTGTCATGTTTTGTTGTGCCATGTTGTTTTCTGTCGTGTTTCGCGATGGCGCGAGGCGGGATACCCGGGACTCTCAGGACAACTTGGGGCGTGGCGGCCGCGGTACGCACGGTGCGTTTTGTCGTGTTTGTCGAGGGCGCGAGGCGGGATAACCGGGATTCTCGGGACAACGTGGAGTTTGGCGGCCGCGGTATGCAGGGTGTGTTTTGTCGTGTTCGTCGAGGGGGTGAGGCGGGATAGCCGGGACACCCGGGACATTTTGGGGTCCGGCGGCCGCGGTATGCACGGCGTGTTCTGTCGTATTTGTCGACGGCGCGCGGCGGGATAACCGGGACATTTGGGACAACTTGGGGTCTGGCCGCCGCGGTATGCAGGGTGAGAGCGGCCGAGAAACTTACTTTTTATATACAAAATTGACGACCCCAGCGTGTCTGGTGGGGAAAATGGTTACGCAATCTCCAAACGCAGACGCCCTTACGTACTTTGAAAAATCATTTGTTTCGAAAGCGATTTCCAAAGAAGGCCAGGAGCCTCTCCGGGCCCCTGGGGGGGGATTTCGGAGGAGTTCGGAGGGGTTCGGAGGAGCGTGCTGGGCAGTGGCCCCCTCGGCGGCTGCGGTGTGTTCGGGTCGCAACGCGATCCCCCGCACAGTCTGCGATGTCTCTTTGCCCCGCCCCGCCAATTTGACGAAACTTGGTTTGACGAGGACGTGATTTGACGAATCTTCGTTTCAATATTTGCACACAGTTGCCATCGTCAGAGTAAGCTTCCCTTCCCGAGGGCACTCTTGAAAGTCTCGTAAACATTCTGCGCAGTCGTCTCGAAAAAATCGTTCCTGACAAATTTCGTCAAAGCTCGCCAAATGCCGTCATATCCCGTTTCAGCCTCGTCAACGTAAGATTCGCCAGTTCGCGCCATCGTCAAAATCGCTTCGTCAAACTACTTGGGAGAACGCAGCAATGACACGAGGCGGATTGCGTTGCAACCCGAGCACGGCGCAGTCGCCGAAGGGCAGGTCTCCCGGAGCATCCGACAATCAGGGGGCATGGTATGGTAGTCGGCCGGTAATCGTGCTCTGGGCTCGTTCGGGCCCCTTTCGCAGGTTTCCCGGGGTGGACGAGCGAGTTCCGGGAAGGCACCGCAGACCCCGATGCCCAGGTTGCTGCCGGATGGCGGGCCGCAGAGGCCATCATTCAGGCCATGCGCGAACGTCGTCGCGACGCCGTCGGGGGCTGAGCTGCGACGGGGCCAAAATATGATGATCAGGCCAAGGTCGGGGGGTGCTGGGTGCTCACACGTAGCATCCTCACTCGGCACGCCGATGCTTTGCGGCAGAAATCGTTGGAGCCTGAGCCCCAAGGATGTCGCGCGGCCCAGGGAGGGCCTACACGGGGTCCTCAAGAGGGCCCCGAAAGAGCCCCCGAAACCATTTTGGGCCCATCTGGGGACTCCTGGGGCTCCTGGCGGCGACAAAGCCGGAGCTATTCTTCCATCCCCCCCCGTCCACATCCCTTTTTCCACGGGCAGCGGTTGCCCCCTTGCTTGCTTCCCTGATCGCGGCGACTCGCCTGGGCCTCTGCTCTGAACGAGGCGGCGGGGATTTGGAGCGTGGGCCCCAGAGATATCGCGCGGCCAGGGGGGGGGGGGGCCCGAGGGATTCCCGGGAATCTCGAGGAGGGGCCGGCGATGGCCCTGAGAGAGCCCAAAGAAATCTCCCAGTGGGCATTAGCAAGCGTCGCGCCAAACTTCGTCAGACGGAGTTGGGCGCGATGCGTCATGCGCCCCTGTCGGAGCCCGCTTGGGCCGCTCTCGGGGCCCTCTCGGGCCCTGTGCGGCTTCTCTCGGCGCCCTTTCGGGCATGTCTTGGAGCCCCCTCTGGGGCCTTCCAGAGGCATCGGGACCCCCCCCCCTCGAGAGGGGCCCCCAGCGAAGACGGGATTCTGCAAACCTTATGCGCCCGGAGAGATTAAATGGGCGACGGCAAGGTATCGCAGGTCCAGCTGTAGGGACTTGCGACGCATCGCAGGGTCTCTCGCAGGGCACGGCGTGGCATTGTAACGTCATCTGAAGGTTACGGGCGAAGTCGTTGCAGTGGACTTTTCTTGGTCTTCACACGTATGTTGTAAGGTAAACGCAGGGTTCTTTGCAATGTCTCTGCACAGGGGCCTTCGCAGGGGTCGTCGGTCGTCGCGTGGGTTGGCGCTCTGGGGTGGGGGGGCGCCGCGTGCGAACGTTCGTTCGAGCGGCCGCGCGGCTGCTCCGCGGGAGGCTGATTCGAGCAACGCAATTGGCGAAGATTCAGTTGTTGTCCGATCCTGGTTCTTGTTTCGGGTTGCTCCCCGAGGGCCCCCGATCTTGGGGGCACCTTCTCCTGGGGGCACCTCCTAGCAACTCCCGGCATCTGTCTCCCTCCCTCTCTCTCTCTCTCTCTCTCTTCTGTGCCTTCCCCCCCGCCCCTGCTGTGCCATTCCTGTCCCATCCTCCTCTTCCCTCTCCTGTCCCGTCCCCTTTCCCTCCTCTTGCCGTCGTGGTCTCTGCCCGGCCCAGCGGCCCCTGGCTCGCGGGCCCCGGAATCCGCCGCCGCCCGCCGGTGCCGCTCCTCCTCCTCTCCAGCCCTCTTCCCCATTCCTCCTATAATGCTAACTTATCCGCTCCTCTTCCTGATCCGCAACCTCCTTGCCGCCCTCCTCTTTATTGCGGAATGCCATGAGAAGTTTAGTTTAGTTTTGCAATCAAGTGGTCCAGTATGTTGTTTGTCCTGCATCACGTGTGTGTGTGTGTGTCACATTTCCAGCGCCATGAACGCTCGATTGTTGGGCGCGTTGTCACGAACACGGTTCGCATTGATTAATTCATTCACTAAACCGGCTTCTCTCCAGAGTGATCCCATGACCATTGTGTGCGTTGGGACGTGTCTCGTTAGTAAGCTATTCCTCGCCCTGGGCGTCCAGGACAGGATGAGTGACAGAAAAATGTGGTCTCTCTGGTGTTCAAGCTTGCATTCAGACACCGCTTCGCTGAACGCGCCTCCATCCATCCATCCTATTATCGAGGAAACGTAAGACTCGTGTTTGCCGGAACTCGGGTTCGCCGACGACTTTGGACGGGCACGTCTTGACATTCGTCGACACGGTTTTCGTGGGACGTTTGCAGCGGGTGTCCACGTCACCGTCCAGATTGAGCCTCGTTATTTTTTTGACGGCCCCGCCAAGCCAACCCGAGTCCCCCGAACACGAGTTCTACGTCTCTCTGATAATCCTCTCGATGCTTCTTTCCTTCCTCGGTGATCCTTCCCCCCCGGTCATCCTTCCTGAGCGGCTGAAGGTCCCAAGACGTCGACGCCTCCGAGCGGCCTGACAATCCTCACGTGCTGCGCGCCTGTTGACGTTGGGCAGATGTGCAGATCTCTGACTTTTCGACAGGCTCCGCCCCCCTTCGTCTCGGACCGCTCCCGAGAGCTGCATCCCCGACGGGGGAGGGGCTGGGCTCCCAGAGGGAGGAAGGGCGGGCGCTCCAGCCGCACAGGTTTTCACCGCCGCGCCCTTTGCAGCTCGGGCCCCCTCGCGCCGCGAGGCGGTCCGGAGGAGGGGCCGTGGCGGAGGCTGGCGAAAAGCCGCTGCCATGCCCTCGCCCGGTGGGGAAGGCTGTGGCGCCCGCCCTCCTGAGGGGGGGGCGGGGGGTACTGCCCTCACACAGGGGTTCCCCGGGGGTTCCTGAGCCTCCTGAGCCTTCTCCCTTGCCTCGTGGGTTCCCTCCCTCTCCTCCTCGTCCTCCATGTTTTCGCAGCGTTGCTCTTCGAGGTCCTGGGTGTCGTTTTTGCTGGTCCTCTTGAGGGGGGGGGAGGCTGCTGTGGGGAGGCTGTGGCCCCCGCCCTCAAATGGGAGCGTGGGGGGTGGCTGCCCTCCTCTTGCTGGAGGGCGCGCTGGGGCGGGGCTGGGGCCCGCAGTCACCCCCCTGCCACTGCTCGCCCTTCGCCGGGCTTCCCCGTGCCTCTGCCAGCGCCGTCCACACAGTAGCTTTCGTGGGCGAAAAATATCTTCGTGTCCGCCTCGCGGGTTGGGCCCTTGGGCCGCGACCCCGCGGATACGGGGCGATGTTTCGCGGATGCCCCGCGCGGAACGTATCTGTGCGACCGCGTATCCGCGGGATCGCGCCCCAGCATCGAGACCGCGAGGGTGTGGAGATGGAAACGTTCGCCACTCGTGAACTTTAGAGCCTCGCACGATGCATTCGCCAAATAATCCTTGGGGGTAATGCGCGTCGTCGTCGTCGGAAGGCCTCCACGGTAGGTGAGGGTAATCAGTAGAGCGGTTGCGGCCAGCAGGTGCAGGTTGGCAGAAGCGGTATATGTCGGCGTCTTATCATGTCCTTTCTGGAGGGAATAATTGGCCATATGCTATGCTCAGTGGGCCCTGGAAGCGACAGGGTCGTTTTGCCGTTTTTGTTGTTGGGTCCGTCGCAGAGTTTGTTTACCTGGTATCCGTCGTCGTGTGTTATCTGGTTCCGGAGCGGGCTCCAATTCCTGAGCAGTTGTTCCAGTTTCCAGGAGCCTTTTTTGTGTTGTCGTTTCTAAGTTCCAGAAGGTTGTTCCAAACGGCTAAGACGGCCCTGCCGTTTCCAGGCCCACGAATGCCGTATGTTGCACGCGTGCTATCCACGCTTGCCCCCTCGGCCCGTGCACATGTTCGCGGGCACAGGTCGGGTGAGAGCATCGTGCGCCCCGGGGGCCTGCGATCCTTCACAAACCGAAGTTTGGACAGACACGGGGGGAGGGGCATGCATGGGCTGCACTTGGAGAGCCAGAAGTTGAACGTTCGAGCCAGGCTTAAGTCGGGCCTGTCGCTCTACAGGAGGAACATCCACAAATAATCAACAAGTAGTCTGAGGACCATGTTTGGGGCATGTGTTTGGTTTGTTTTTGAAGGCTTGAAGTATTTTGATTTCTCGTCCAACCTCTCCCTGTAGGTGGACGGGCCCGACCTAAAGCCCGGCCCGTGCGCGCCTCTCGAGCGAGCCTTCGCTCCCCGCCGGCGTGCCTCGCCGAGAGGCCTGCGACGAGACGCCCCTGCACCTCGCCGCGCGCGCCGGGTGCGCTGCTGCGTGCGAGGCCGCCGGGCGGCGGGCGCGTCCGCCAGCGGCGTCGGGGACGGGCACGGAGGCCCTCTTCCTCCCACTCCTCCTCCTCCTCCTCCTCCTCCTCCTCCTCCTCCTCCTCCTCCTCCTCCTCCTCCTCCTCCTATCCTTCCAGCGTCGGCCGCTGGTAGGCGATAGTTCGCATCCAAGAGCCTGCAGATGCCACCAGGACTGCTGGGTGACAGAGGCTCGCAATGGTTGATTGATTGATTGATATATCCTCCTCCTCCTCCTCCTCCTCCTCCTCCTCCTCCTCCTCCTCCTCCTCCTCCTCCTCCTCCTCCTCCTCCTCCTCCTCCTCCTCCTCCTCCTATCCTCCTCCTCCCCCATCTCCTCCTCCTCCTCCTTCTCCTCCTCCTTCTCCTCCTCCTCCTCCTCCTCCTCCTCCTCCTCCTCCTCCTCCTCGAGGGGAGAGGGACCTGGCAGAGAAGGGGAGGGGCCAGTGGCGCGGAGGGGGGCGGGGGAGAGAGAGAAGGGGGATGGAGCGCGGAGCGGCGAGGGATGGCACGCGGGGTGCGCGTGCGCGTGGGCGGGGAGGGGAGGCCCAGGAGGGGAGGGGGAGGAGTGAGCGAGGGCGGGGTGCACGGGGAGGGTGGGGGTGCGGAGGAGGGAGTCGCCCCTCGCACCTCGAGCCTCGCCCCTGGGCCCCCTCGAGCCTCGAGCCTCGACCATCGATCCTCGAGCCTTGGTCCTCGAGCCTCGACCCTCCACCCCCGACCCTCGACACGCCGCCCTCGAGCCTCGGGAGGGAGCGAGGGCCGAAGGAGCGCAGGGGCAGGCACGGCAGGGGCACGCGGCAGGCCGGCGCGCCGGCCGCCGCCGCGCCCTTCTTCGCAGGACAAGGGGAAGTCCGTTCCAGAGCGTTCCGGAAAGCTCTTCGAGCGTTCCGGAGCGCTCCGAGAAGGCCGCGGCGCCTGAGACGTGAGCCAGAGCCGCCGGATCTCAGAGATTCTCGATCTCTATCCTCACCCGGATTTTGTCCTCGCCCTGGCTTCTTAACCCAGGGGAGGAACAGCCATCCCGACCCCGACGGGTGGCGTTTGCTGAACGGCCCCGTGCGTTTGCGAAGCAGCCCTCTCCTGCTCCCTTCCTCCCCTCGCTTGCGTTTACTGCTCTTGGCTTGGCTTGCCGTTGTGCCCGCTGTGAGGGCGGAGCTTCTGCTCCCTGTCCGCGTGGTCTCTCAGGAGGGGAAAACACCCGCAGACACAATGAATCGCCCACTCCCAGAAAATATATGGGAAAACATGGGAAGTGGGGGGGGGAAGAGAGAAACCCCGAGAATATGGGAAAATATGGGGAATATTTTTATTTGTGTGTATTTCTTTGTGTGTTTGTGGGCCCCTTCAGAGTTTCTCGGTCGCGGAGGCGTGCCGCCCTCGATGGCGGCCGCCGCCGTGCCCCGGCCGGCGGCCGCGGCGGCGGGGCGCGCCGGGGCGCCGGCGAGCCTCCCCGTCGGCTCGCGGGCGGGCGGCGCAGGGCGGGCGCCGGCGGGCGGGAGCCGCGCGGAGGGGGGGCGGTGTCAGGGGCAGCGTCAGGGGGGGGGGGGGCATGGGCTCGTTTCGATGCCTCCGATTCGATTCGATTCGACTTCGATGGATGCCGATTCCGATTCGATTCGACTTGGGCTTCCGATTTGGGTTCCGATTTCTTCTTGGAGGCATACTAGCCTGCCGATTTCCTCCGATTCGACTTTTCCCGATTCGGCTGCCGATTTCCGCCGATCCGATTCATGTCGATCGCCGATCCGACTTATCGATTCGATTCTGGGCTCTACTGGGGGGAGGCATGGGCTCATATCGCAGGCCTAGAGGTTGACACCAACACCAATATCCTCGATGTGCCTCCGCCGAGGCAAGAAGATCCCGATTTCGGTGATGGTGGTAATATTCTGGCTTCCAGGGTGGTCGAAATGTTACCACCAACACCGGAATCTAAGATCACCTCCCCCCTGTGGAGGCAAACACCCTGTGGAGGCAAACCCCCCTGTGGAGGCAAACCCCGCTGTGGAGGCAAACCCCATGGGCTCATCTCAGGAGCGAAAGAAGGACGTACATGTACACGAATCCACGCTGGTTTCGAGAATACGCATGGCGCAAATGTTCGTATGACGCGGCCGGTCTCGCGGATCCAGGGGCCGTGCTCATGTACATAGCCGGGCGCGTACGTGCTTTGTGGGCTCCCCATCATCAGGGGCAAGGATGGCCGGCGGCGAGCGAATGAGAAGGAGAAGGCCTTGTCAGAAGGCGGCGGGGCTTCTCAGAAGCGCTCCCCGGCCTTCTTTTTAAGAGGTGTTTTGCTTGGCATCGATCGGACGTGTGCATTTTTCTTTCGGCGAGGACCATCGAGGAGCATCTTTGATCATTTGGCGAAAAAAACCACGCACAAAACCGAAAAAAACACAGGGAATGGACGTCCGAGCGATGGCCAGTTTGTGTCATCGGGGAAGTCTTGGGACATTGCTCCGAAGTCCGGGGGGGCTTCCCAGCCTTCTGACAAGGCCCGCTCCTTCTCATTTCCCCCCAGGCTCGTCGCCGAGATAAGGAGGGAGAAGGGGGGACGCATGGACTTGCCGCATGGACCCCCAATCGCCTACGGATCGCCGAGAACGGGTCTGATAGTTCCACCCTGCCCAGGAGCGTGCAGATTTGCTATCGGGGGCAGATTCCCGATCTCTCGGTGATGTATCGCCGATTCCAGGGGCTGGTGTCAGGGGCAATATCAGTTGGAGGAAGGTGCCCCTGTCCCAAGGTGCCCCCAGCTTTCCGCTCAATCCTGGAGCCCCCCGGGGCCCTGTGGGCCTCGTGAGGGGTGCTCTAGAGGCCGTGTCAGAGGCAACGTTTGGGGAAGGATCGGAACAGGAGCAAGCGGGACATCGATGGCGATGACATCGAGCATTTCTTCGAGCCGTGGATTACACATGCCACCTTTCTGGAAGTACCCATGACCGCTTTCGGTGCAGAAGCAACAGCATCAGATGAGGCTTCCCGGGAGGCCGCTGCCCTTCTTACAACGTAGTGAGAAAAACAGGGGGAACGCATCGATCCCCGTTAGAGCCGTCTGGAGGTATGCAGTGGTCCAGCACTGGTTCTGGCCAGCAGGAAGGGTGGACAGGTTCGAGGTTTGTGTTCGGCTAGAATGGTAACCTTTTTCGGCCTCAGGGGCCCGTTTTCGGACCCCAGGACCGTCAATCACGGATCAGGGGTGAAACACTGCACCAGACGGATTGCCAGGAGAGGTCCGGGGAGCAACTTTGAGCGGGTCTAGTTACCGATTTTCGGGGGTCCCAATCAGTTCAGACGTCCTGGCCGCCTCCGGGACCCCCAATCGCCCACTGATCGCTGCTAGGGGCCAGAAAGCCCAACACCCGCCCAGGAGCGCGCGGATGCGCTGTCGGGGGCCTATCACCGATCTATTGGCGATGCCTCGCCGAAAGGTCGACGTACCTCGAAGAAGATAAAGCGGCATAACCATCAACGTTTTGAGCTCCGCGCGAATTTCTCGGATCTGCGTTGAACGCCCTCGGCGGAGCATTTGGTGTCGCCCAGGGCGCTTCTCCGCGCGCTAGGGAGGGGTGGTCCAGCGCCGATCCGAGAAACTCGCGCGGAGCTCCGAATGTTAATGTTTGTGCCGTTTTCTCTTCCTCTAGTTTAGCGGGCGAGGAGAGGTATAACATACGTTCTAGACTCTTCGCGTAACCCCACCAGCCCATCCAGAAACGATGCTCATGCGAGTTGCCTCGGTCAAGGATGTGGAGGAGCAGAAAGTTGGAGAAGCCGTCATCCCCAGGAGGAGGACGGAGGCGAACTCGGAGGAGGAGAAGGATGAGGTGAAGGACGGGGGCGGGGGGAGGAGGGAGGTGGAGGGAGTAGGCGGATGAGGGGGTAGGGGGAGGGGTCATGCTACCGTCACCGTCCTATATAGATAGGAGGCCGTCTAGCTCACTCTCACCCGCCCTGCCAACATAAATAACACCCGAGTGTCAGCAGATCGCCAAGGAACGCCACACATGCCATGCGCGCCACGGGTTCCAGGTGCACCAGGCATCCTGGAGGCCCAAGCGTGCCAGGTGCGGCACATGCTCCACGTGCGCCACTTGTGCCACGTGCTCCAGCCGCGCCAGGTGCGCCAGCTACGGGGAACCGACAGGGACCCCAGCTGCCTGGGGCCCTAGCCCCGAGGAGTTCAGAATCTTGAATCCCCATGAAACAAAGTGCCGAGCATTCTTTGTCAAGGAGGGCTCCTCCAGGGGTCGCCAAGCACCGGCACGGATGGACAAACTGTGTGAGCTCAGAGAGAAGAGGGCCTTACGCATGCTTCAGATTTGGAGCCAAAGTGTATTTACGTATTGGTTTTACCAGGGATGGTTGGCTTGAACGCAGCAGGCAATATGCCGGCACGCCGCCCTTGTCAAAACCTATGCGAAGTGGTCGATGGGCGCCCGCGCATGCTCCAGATTTGAAGGCGACATGTATTTTACATGTATTTTGGATTGTTTTTTACCAGGGATGGTAGGAGGTGCCCTTATTGGCCCGGGTCGGCTGCCCTGCCGGTCGCCTGGGGGAGGGGTGTTCATTAATCGCGAACGGTGATCAAGACACCCTCCCCGCCAGCAAGCCGTCTCGCTCACTCCCACTCGCCCTCCCAAAACGCGCACACAGCACCCGAGCCGCAGTGTGTTTGGCGGTAACCGTTGGGCTCGCAGCTAACGGGAACCAAACGAGGCCCCATGTGCGCAACGCTGGGGCGAGGTGCGCCGTGCGGGGCAGGCGCGCCACACGCGCCGGGTGCGCCAGGAGTCTCTGCGGCCCAGGCGTGCTCGGCACGCCCTGTGCGCCAGATGCGCCACGTGATCCACGTGCGCCATGTGCGCCACGTGCTCCAGCCGCGGCAGGTGCGCCACGTTCGGGGCACGCGCAGAGTGTGCCATGTGCGCCTGCGCACGTGGCATGACACGTCGGGAAACGCGTCGCCCCCCACCATCCTTGTCGAAAACCAGTGCGCGGTCGCGGCGGGTCGGCCATCATAGCGTATGCCAGCCGCCCCGCCGTCCCAGTCAAAAACCAATGCACAGTGATCTTGGGGTGCCCGCGCCGCGCATGATCCAGATTTGGCCTTCAAGTGCATGTTGAATTGGTTTTTCTGACAGGGGCGCTGGCCCTGTGCAAAGCAGGCAATATGCGGGCACCCCCGCCGTCCCCGTCAAAAAAACTGACCATAGTGTTCGCGGCCAGCCCGATCATGAATGACCCGAGATTCTGTCCCAAAGTGGACTTCACATTGTTGTGTGGTAGGGATGGGGGGGGGGGCCGCATTGGTCCTGGTTGGCTTCCGGTCGCCTTGGGGAGGGGTGTCTACTATCAAGGAAGAAGAAAGCCCTCCCCGAAGCGGAAGGAGATGGGTCGGAAGAGGAAGAGCCCCAAACCAGTCACGCCCTAAAGAGTTGGTGGGGCAATTTGTTCCGCCATCGGGGGCGGCTGCCCCATGGCAGCTGGAGAGGTTATACCCCGACGTGCCACCACAGGATAATATCTTGTCCAGCCACACTGGGGCATGCGGACAAGTCTGTGTTGTACACTTGCCGCTCTTCGCCGACTGACCAGTACCCCCCCGCAGGGCCCATCTCGATCCGATCGATCCGATTCGATATCGTTTTTGGTCAATTCGATCCGATTTCGATTCCGATTTCCCGACGTTCCGATGCGGCTCGACGCTTTCGTGACGTTGTGTGGTGCACCGTGCTGCGGCCGACCCGATCCGATGCCGACTCCGTGCCGATGCGGCCCGATCCGACACCCCCTCCGATGCGAATCGGATCGTCATCGATCCGATGCCGGCCGATCCTGCCGCCCGAGCCGGTCCCCCCCCCCCTGGCGCTCCCCCTCGCGTTGGCGGGGCGCGCTGGCGCGCGGCGCCGCGCCCGGCGTCGCGGCGGTGGCGCTGGCGAGGCGCGCGTGCCGCGGCGGGTCGCGGGGGCACGCGCGCCGGCCGGGCGGGCGGCTGCGCGGGGGGCGGCGCGGCGGGGTGCGCGTGCAGGCGGCGAGGCAGCGGCGAAGAGTGTCCTGCTGGAGGCGCCTGGAGGTCGACATTACCAGCCTCGAACGTACCCCTATCCCTAAGATTGACACGCCAAAAAGCGATGACAATCTTATGGATGCGCCCTCAAAAAATAAGGGAATCCCTAAGATTGGCATCGTGATGAGGAGATGCCCAGCATAGGGATAGGGATATGTTCCAGGCTGGTAACGACACCAGCACCGGTATCGGAGGTGTGCCTCCACCGAGGGAGGACGATCCCGATCTCGGTGAGGGTGGTCACGATTCGGGGTGCGAGGTGGTCGGAGTATGACCACCAACACCATCGGCTGGGGTCGTCTGCCCGCGGTGGAGGCAGTCCCATGTGCTGGTGTCATTGCCCGCTTCCAGGCCTCCAGTCTCGACTTGCCCATAGGCCCACGAGGGAATGATCCAGCGTGGAGCCTGCTGGGGTCTGAGGTGGCCCAGCCCTGGTTCCGACCAGCAGGAGTGCTGGGCGGGTTTCGGGGTGCTGGGCTCGGGATCTGTTGTTGTTGCCCTTCTCGACCTCCAGCTGCCGTTTCCGGGTCTCTATAGGGACCGTCCAAACTTGATCGGTGGTGAAAAAAACTGCACCAGATGGACCCCAGGAGGAGGAGGAGGAGGAGGAGGAGGAGGAGGAGGAGGAGGAGGAGGAGGAGGAGGGGGGGTGGGGCGGGGGAAGATTTTGATCGGATTTGCCGTCATCACCCTCTCTTGACAGATTTCCTCGGGGCCCTTCCTGTGCAGACCCCCGGCCGTTCCCGAGCTCCAAGAACCTGTTGTGGTCTGCGCAAGATGTTCCAAGAACATTCGGGCCGGGCGAAAGGGGGGGATTGGGAAAGGGGGGGTTACGAAATCTGCTGCATGCAGCTGGTTTCGGCCTCACCGAGGGGCCCATTCCTCGATACATGGCCGCCTCCGGCGCCGGGAGGCGCCGGGAAAATCAGCTACGTGAGCTGATTCTCACCCCCCCCCTTTGCTATCCCCCCCTTTCGCCCGACCCGACTATTGTGGTTTGCGCAAAATGTTCCAAGAACATGTCTCGCTGAGACAGCATGTTTTTGTCAACCGGCTCCATGTTCCAAGAGCATCGTCTTCGATCGGACAAATAGGTGACTCAAAGAACATTTCGCGGTAGGCCTATGGGAATGCCATGACGGTCGGTCCCTTCTCAAAGGCGGGTGTTTCTGGGGTGCCGTCGCGGACGCGAACGGTGGACCCCTCGACGGGCGAGTGGACCGAGCCGCGGGACTTCCCGAAGCCCGCGGGCATAGACCAAACGGAGATCAGGGGCAACGTTAGGGGGGGAATGGACTCAGAGGTGGACGCCATTCATCACCGATATGGGGCTCGATAACCCCACCCCGCTCAGGACAATGTCGATATGCTAATTCTGGAAGGGATATCGGCGATCTACCGATCTATCGGCGATTTATCGCAGATCCCAAGTGGGCGACGCAGAGAGAAGGGGATCGTCTTTACAAACATTGGCGCGTAACCCGCTCGCGTACGGTCGCCCGTAAGTGCCCCCTTATCCACGCCGCGTGTCACGCTGGCGGCCGGCGTAAGCCACGGCGCAAGGTCGCTATGCCATCTCGCGCAAGGCCCGTTTCTTTTCGTCGTCCAGGTCCACGTTTCCCCTCTTGAGTTGGTCCCCCCCCCCACGTTGCTTCTCAGGAGAATTACGCGGAGGCGAGGGCCCTCTCCGCCAAGTTCCGGGCGCTGCAGGAGGCCAGCTCGCCAGGGAAGCTTGGGGACGAATCAGCAGCATGCCGCTCGGGCTTTCTCGTGTCTGCGCTGGGCCCCCTGGCGGCGCCGCCGGCGCCGCCCCTGGACCGCTCCGCGCGCCAGCGGACCTCTGAAGGTGATTTTCTTAGGGAGCTGTCTTGGCATCGCTCGGACTTGATCATTGGCGAAGAAGCCACGCACGAAACCCAAAAAAAACACAGGGAATAGACGTCCGAGCGATGGCAGGGCTGTGTGTTTCGGGAGAGGGGCTGCTTTGAGGCTTGGCGGCGTCCTCTCTGGGGTCGTTGCCGTGCTCTCTGGGCGCGGGCGCCACGGCAGATCGCAGGGATGGCGTGCACCACGCTCGTCCACGCCAGCGGCCTGCAGCGTGCCCGGCTCCTGTCACTGAGGTCTTCCGTTGCCCCTTTGGCTTCCTCCTGCGAGCCGTCCTGCCCAGAAGCTTTCTGTTTGGGCAGTGCTGCCTTCCTCTGCCGAGGCCGGGTCGCCGAGGAAGCGGGTGGCGGTCATCGGCGGGGGGCTGTCGGGGCTCGCCTGCGCCAAGTACCTGGCCGATGCGGGCCACCAGCCGGTGGTGCTGGAAGCCCGCGAGGTGCTCGGCGGGAAGGTGTCTGCGTGGCAGGACGAGGACGGGGACCTCCTTCCTCCTTCCTTCCTCCTTCCTTCCTCCTCTTCCTCTTCCTTTATCCTCTTCCTCTTCCTCCTCCTGTTCCTCCTCCTCCTCTCGCCTCCTCTCTCTCCCTTCCCTCCTCCTCGTAGTGGCTTATTCTCCGGAGACGAAAAGGAACGCGCTCCGACATCCATTCCAAACGAAATTGTTTTTTTATGGTGTCCGTATTCAGGCGCGCCCTGCCGCGCGGTGGTTTCCCAGCGCATTTCTAGAGCTTGCTGAAACTTCATAATACGAGGCATTCAATTTGCACTCTCGCGTACCAATCACGCGTGGTTTGAGCTACTTCGCAGACGCTTTCTGGCGAGGCCCTTCGAGGGCCCTCTCAGGGCCCGCTGGGCCGCCGAGTGCCGAGAGCTCCCGGCAACCATTGACGACAGTTGGCAACAGCAACGCCGCCGAAAGAGCCGTCGAAAGGGCCGCCGAAAGGGCCGCCGAAAGAGCCGTTGAAAGGGCAGCCGGAATGGCCGCCAAAATTGCCGCCGAAATCGCCGCCGAAATTGCCGCCAAAATCGCCGCCGAAGTTGCCGCCGAAATTTCCGCCGAAATTCCTGATTATGCCGCCGACAAGAAGACGAATGTGATTTGGTTGTGACTCTATGCCTGTGTCCGCGGCGTCATCGTGCTTAATACAACAGCGATTTCACCTCGGACAGGGCAATGCAAATTTCGGCGGCGATTTCGGCAGCTGAATTTCGGCGGCTGCTTCGGTGGAGTTCGCAATTCTTTCGGCGGCAAGTTCGGCGGCAATTTCGATGGTGATTTCGGCGGCGATTTCGGCGGAGAGTTTGGCGGCAAGTTCGGCGGCAATTTCGGCGGCAAGTTCGGCGGCAATTTCGGCGGCAAGTTCGGCGGCAATTTCGGCGGCGATAACGTTTGTTCTCTTGTGGTTTGTGCGGTGATGATGGCGACGGCCGCAGCGATGCTTGATTCAAAATGGATGCTCGTCAGGGTTTTTGCATGGGGCGCCTACGCTCCCAGCACTGCATGCTTTCAAACAGAGAAACCGCGCAAATATTTTTGTTTTGAATTCGGCGGCTATCTGCGGGGTCGCGGCGGCTCCAAAGGATGGTCCTCGGTGATCCTCCGGGCGCCGCCCGTCGGAGCTCGGCGGCGCATGGCCGGAGCAGGCCGAGCCGCCCCGCGCCCGGCGGTGGCTGCCATCCGTGCGGTCAGACTCGCATCCGTCGGTCTCTTCGGCCGCCCCGCCCCACGGTGCTAGCGCTGCTCCCGCCCTGGGGGCCGAGGCGCGGCCGCCAGCGCCCCCCCCCCAGTCACGGGCTGCACCGTCGCACGGGGGGGCCGCCCGTCGGCGCGGGAGACCCATCTTCAAGGCAGGAGAAAAAAAAAGGCACCCGTGCCGCTACCCCCTACGCCTCGTTGTCCTGCTTGCGTGGGCCTCTCGGGAGGCCCTCGCCCCCACCGCTGGGTACGCGTCGAGATGCGTCACGAGACGCGTAACCCCAGAAGCCCATCCAGCAAGGATGCCCACACGAGTTGCCTTGATGAGGGAAGTGGGGAAGCACGCAGAGGAACAAGGGCAGGGGAAGCCGTCATACCCCAAGAGGAGGAGGAGGCTGGAGGAGGAATCGGAGGAGGAGAGGGAGGGGGAGGAGGAGGATGAGGAGGAGGTGGAAGAGGAGGATGGGGAGGAGGGCGACGAGGAGCAATGTCCGACGTCCTACCCCTCCCTCCCATCCCTTACCATGGCGTAGGTATCCTCTCTATCCGCACATTCGAATGTCGAGCAGGGTGCTGGTCGCTGGAGGGTACACTGTTCATGGTAGAGCACGGCATGGCATGGCGCACGCGAGAACGGCAGAGCGTAGCATGCCATAGCATAGCGTGGCATTGCGCAGGGAAGAATTGCATCGCAAAGCGTCGCAACGCAAAACATGGCATCGCACAGCGACGCAGAACACAAAACCGCACAGCATGTCATGGCATGGCGCCAGGTTCCTTGGAGGGTAAATGGGTCGTCTTCCAGAGGTTTGGGCCGGTGTGGAGTCGCGGCTCCATGTCTAATTACCTCCCTGGGCTCCCCGAAAAAAACTCCAGACAAGGCGGGGCTGATGGAGAGCACCCGCTGGTTTTGCTTTCAACATCGCCTTCTTAAAGCAGAAACGGGGCTCCCGCTTGATATTTCCTGAAGACGACGCTCCAAAGTGGGAGGGGTTTTGTGGCCCCGAATCATCATCGAATCGACACCGAGTGTGTAATCGTTTCTGACGGCTTTGTTTTTTTGGGGGGCATTTTATAGATTTTGGGTCCTGTTTGGGACGACCGAAAACGCCCGTGCTGCAGCGGGAGCATGATTAGGAACAACCAGAGGCGTAGCAATGGGGCCAGTGCTTCAGCGGGAGCAACATCTGGAAGCAAACCCAAGCGAGAACCCAATTCTTGGGAATCTTGTGCGAAAAAACAATACGCGGAGGGGGGCCGGACATCTTCCGGACGTCATCAGGGCAGAGGAGAGTAAGTAGCAGTCACATGGAGTAGTTGTTGAGGGGGGAGGAGGAATAGGCTCGAGGAGGAGGAGGAGGAGGAGGAGGAGGAAGAAAAGGGCGAGCAGAAGGGCCAGAGGCCTCTTTAGTGCATCTCGGAGTTTCTTCGGATGTCTCTGGGGAGCTTCCTGAAGGCCTCTGAGGGCGTCTTGGGTGCATCTTGGCGGTCGGGGGGGCCTCTTGGAGTGCCTGGGGTGCCTCGGGAAGCCTCTTTGGGCCTCTTGGCGGCCTCTTGGGGACCTCTTGGGGCCTCCTGGGCGCTTGTTGGGGCCCTCTTGGGGCTCTCTTGGGACTCTCTTGGGACCCCTGGATGGCCTCTTTCAGTTGTCGTGGAGGGTGTCGGTGAACAGAGGGGGGGGTCTTACCTTTTAGTGCCCCCTCTGGGACCATCAAAATAGCATCTTGGGACGCTCTTGGGCATCTCTTGGGGCATCTTGGGCCCCTCTTGGAACTCTCTTCGGCCATCTTGGGGCCACCTTGACGCCTCAAAAACGCATCGGAAGCGAAAAGGTGAGAATGCAACAATCATTGCTTTTCCTCCGGTTTTTGAGAGAGTTTGGCTTCCCTGGGAGGCCCTGTTGGGTGTCTAACAGCACCTAGAACCATCTTGTCGCCCTCTTGGGGCCTCTTGGAGGCATGTTGTGAGCTTTCTTGAGCCATGTAGGGATATCTTGCGCAATATTGAGGCCCTCTTGGGGCCATCTCAGGGTATCTTGGACGCCATGACATCTCGCGAACCCCCCCGTCTAGGTCCAGGGGAGTGGGCAGGGGGAGGGGTCAAGCTACCCACCCGCCCGCAAGCCGTCTAGATCACTCCCACCCGACCTCCCAACACGTAAGTAACGCCCGAGCCTGAGCATGTTCAGCGGTCGTCTTTGGGTGGACGACAGCTACTGGGAACCAAAACCAACCCCATGTGCGCGACGCTGAGGCGAGGTACGCCACCCGTGCCAGGCGCGGCACGCGCGCCAGGCACCCCTGGGGCCCGAGCGTGCCAGGCACGCCTAGTGCGCCAGATGCGCCACGTACTCCGCGTGCGCCAGGTGTGCCGCATACTCCAGCTGCGCCACGGTCGGGGCACGTGCAGAGTGTGTCAGGGGCGCCTGCGCACGTGACAGCACACATCGGGAAACATGTCGGTCCCCACCATCCTTGTCGAAAGCCTATGCCCTGCGCACAGCAGGCCATACGCCACCACCCCCGCCGTCTCTGTCGAACACCACTTAACGGTGATCGCGGGGTGGCCGCCCACTATGCAGATTTAGCCGCAAGGTGCATTTTGGATTGTTTGTTTGTCAGGGATGGTAGCCCTGCGCACAGCAGGCAATATGCTGACACCCCCGCCGTCCTTTTCAAAAACAATACAATGTGCTCGCGAGCCTCACGAACATGACTCAAGGCTTTGCCCCAAAGTTTCTTTTTGGGGGACAGGGATGGTGGGGTGGGGGAGCATGGTTCCTAGTTGGCCGCCAGGGAGGTCCGGGGAGTAGCGGTTTCGACACATTGTAGCTCCCCGAATTTCTGAGCTTCGACACATTGTAGCTCCCCGAATTTCTGAGCTTGCCCGAAGGACGGGGACTGGGTCGAGACGGGCTTGCACATCTTCTTCGGGGCGTACCCGAACATGATGAACCTCTTCGCAGAGCTCGGGATCGAGGACCCGAAGACGAACAAGCTACACAGACAGAAACTCTCGCCGCTCCGCGCATTTTTCTTGGATCGGCGCTGGCGCTGCTGCCACTGGCGCGGGGAGCGCGCAAGTGGCGGCGCCAGAGGCGCCAGGTGCAGGGCCCAGCGCCGATCTGAACAATCCGTGCGCGGAGATCCGCAAGCTTGTACGTGTGCTGCTGTTTTTTCCTCTCAGGACAGGTTGCAGTGGAAGAGGCACCAGATGACCTTCGCGATGCAGGAGCTCCCGGGCGAGTTCACCACCTTCGAGTTCCCTGGCCTGCCGGCGCCCCTGAACATGTCGGCGACTGTAAAGGGTGTGGTTACGCAGGGGTGTGTGGTTTGCGATCTGCGTCGGTTGGGGATTGGGACACACCACGTTGCCTTCGTCGGGCCTCGTGACGCGACGGACAAACCGGTCCCCGCTAACCCCTCCCCAAGGTGCCGGGTTGTAAACCACACCCCCTGCAAACCACACCCTTCGGAGTCGCCGAACGTGGCCGCTGCGATCCTGCTAAACCAGAAGATGCTGAGCCCCCTGGAGAAGCTGCAGACGGGGCCCCCCCTTCTCCCGATGCTCTTCGAGGGGCAGAGCTTCATCGACGCGCAGGACGAGCTGTCGGTCATCGGGTGCGAAGGAGCGGCACAAGACTAGATCTACGGCGCAAGGCGTGCCTTTCTTGGGTCGGCGCTGGGCCCCCCTGGCGGCGCCTCCAGCGTCGCCCCTGGTGCGCTCCACGCGATCGGGAGGAGGGTCCCGGCGCCGATCCAAGAGATCAGCACGGAGCTCCGAAAGTATACGTATATGTATGTCGTTGCTTGTCGCTCTAGGTCAGCCAGTTCATGAGGAAGTACGGCATGCCCGAGCGCATCTCGCAGGAGATTTTCGTGGCGATGGCGAAGGCCCTGGACTTCATCGACCCCGAGAGGCTCTCGATGACGGTGGCTCATGATGCAGCTCCTGGGAGGTTTGATTTAGCATCGGCTTTGGTATATCCGTGGTCGAAATTCGGCGCAATCCCGTTTGATTCCGTTCAATCCCGTTTAATCCGAGTCAATCGGGCTCAATCGTAGGTTTCATCTGAGCGACGCAAAGCAATGCTGTCGTCTGCGCCGACATTGGGGCGTAAGTTGTTCGCGTAAGGTTGCGCGTATGCGCGTTCGCTTCCAGCGTAGCGTACCGCGCTGGCGACCCGCGCAAGCCACCGCGTAAGGTCGCAATGCCATCTCGCGTAAGATCCGTTTTTCATCGTCGCTCATCTGGCGTAGCCTATCTGAATGGCCCCCCAATCGGGCTCAATTGCCCTGCATCGTTCTCGCGAAGACCTCTCAGGAGCTGCCCCCCGAGGTGGTGCTCACCGCGATGAACCGCTTCATCAACGAGAGCGACGGCAGCCAGACCGCTTTCTTGGACGGGAACCAGTCGGGGAAGCGCAAGACCCGAGTTCGCGTTTTGACGGTCCAGTCCTGAGTTTTGACAGTCCAGTCTTGATGTTTGCAGCGGAAGCTCCCGTCAAAGTTCAGATTGGTTCTCGTCATGTAGCCGTCTTTGTTGCGTGTTGCGGGCCCTTCGGCCCCCCCTCCCCCTAGCCCCCCCCCCCAGACCAGATCTTGGCTGCTCTTGGCGGCTGCGTTCGGCGACTGGTCAGACCCCCCCCAGTCCGCCTGCGAGACTGGTGCAAGCAACTCGACCCAGCACCAGCCCAGACCCATACCCCCCCCTCCCCCACCCTTCGGCGAAATGTCGAAACCCAGATTTGTTTCCAACCAAAAAACAATCGGACAAGTTTCCGGACGGCCCCGTCATGCCAACCCGTGTCCCCCGAACCCGCGTCTTACGTCTCCCCGAACCAGCCCGACCGCCTCTGCGCCCCGATGGTGCAGCACATCGAGCAGCGCGGCGGCGCCGTGCGCCTCGGGGCCGCCCTGGAGGAGATCGTCCCGAACGCCGACGCCTCCGTGAGCCACCTCGTGCTCCGCGGGGGAGAGGTCGTCGAGGCCTGGAGCCGGCTGGGGGGCTTGGGTGGCCCCGCATCGGTTCTGGCCAGCGGGAAGGGGGAAGGAAGAGGTCCCCTGTCGTTGCCAAGGGGCTGGGCGCGGCTCGAGAGACTAACTGGTCGGTTTCGGCCGCGGGTGTGGTTTGGCTGGGGGGCGGAGTTTGAGCGAATTGGCCCACATGCCCCCTTCTGGACCGAATTTCTTGGGGCTTGCCCAACTCGCCCCCCGGACCGCCTCCGAAACGAGGCCGACGAGTATGTATCTCGAAGGAGGAAACACAGCACAAGCGCATCAACATTGGGAGGTCCGCGCGGGTTTGTCGGATCGGCACCAGGCCAGCGCCGATCCAAGCTATCGCGTGGTCCTCGGAAAGTTGACGTTTATGTTGTTTTTGTCTTCATCTGGTATCGGCGATGCCTGTGGACGTGTTCAAGCGCTTTCTGCCGAGGGCGTGGTCCGCGCTGCCATTCTTCCAGCAGCTGGACGAGCTTGAGGGCATCCCGGTGATCAACGTGCACCTGTGGTTCGACCGCAAGCTGAAGAACATCGACGCGCTCTGCTTCAGCCGCAGTCCTCTCCTCTCCGTGTACGCGGACATGAGCACGTGCTGTAAGGATCGAGAAAGAATAAATGCTGTAAGCCGGTGCTGTAAGCTCCGCGCGGATTTCTTGTGTCGGCGCCGAATTTCCAGTTTACGCGTCCGTCTTCCTCCAAATGATGTTCGGTAGCCAATCATTGGAGCCTTGTGTACCCTCGCAATTCCGTACGTAGCGTCGGTTAGCGCGTCTGGTAATCGATGAGATAGCGCCGACTGGCGTCGATTGGCGTCAATTTGGCGTCGAATCGCGAAAGCCCACCGAAGGAGTACAAGGACGACGACAGGTCGATGCTGGAGCTCGTGTTCGCGCCCTGCTCGCCGGCCGCAGGCAGCAGCGTCAACTGGATGTCGAAGAGCAACCAGGATCACGCGCAACGAGCAGGGGGGGGGGGCATACGCCGCGGGGGGGGGGATGCATCTAGGAGCCGTCTGATGGTCTGAGGTGGCCCAGCACCAGTTCCGGTCAGCAGGATGGGCGGGCAGGCTCGAGGTGTCGGACCCGTGGGTTTTGGGGCCTCTTCGGCCTCCGTGGGCCGTCTTCGGGCCCGGGGACCGTGAAAGACGGATCCAGGTTGAGGTCTTGTGCCTCCCTGGCGCGCGAAGCGCGCCAGGGAGGAGGGCCCAGTGCAGGTCCAAGAACTCCGCGCGGACCGCCGAAAGTTGATATGTCTATGCCATGGATGGTGCCTCGGTGATCGCCACAGGAGGCCCGATAGCCCCAGCCCGCCTGGGAACGCTTGCATTCGCTATCGAGGGCTTATCGCCGATCGTTCGGCGCCGTATCGCCGATTCGGGCTCGAGGTTACCCCCTGAGCCTGCCCCCCCTGAACGTTTCCATCCTCACCCTCACTCAGGATCGGCGGCGAGCGAGGGGGGGAGGTGAGGAGGAGAAGGCCTTCTCGGGAGGCGGCGGGGCTTCTCCGAAGCCTTTGCGCCCTCTGAGAGGTTTTGGGTGTCTCCGGGGAAGGGCGCGGAGAGCACTCCTCAGAAGGTTGGGGGACTTCGGGGCCCTCTGAGGCTGCCCGCCCCTTCTCTTCTCGGCCCCCCCCCCCCGGGCGCGCCGCCCAGAGGAGATCGTGGACGCGACGCTGGGGGAGCTCCAGCGGCTGTTCCCGCTGGAGATCGGCGCGCACCTCCCTGGCGGGGGGGCCCAGCTGCGGAAGTCCGCGGTGGTGAAGGTCCCGCGCAGCGTCTACGCCGCCACGCCCGGCCGCAACAAGTACCGGCCATCGCAGGAGATCGGGACGTCCGAGGTGGGTGCGGTCGGGCCGAGGTATAGAAGATCGAGGTCGGTTCGGGGAGGGTAACCCTCATGTTCTTCGCGCTTGTGGGGTGATCTGTTACATCCTGGGGGAGGGTGCCCGCGAATGTTCTTCGGTTTGGCCGGCGGAGGGTCTCGTGTTCTAGATGGATGTTCTTCTGTCCTAGGTCTGGCCGTACGGGAAGCATGGGTACGATGCCCAACGCAAGTGTGGTCCAAAGCCGACAGCGGCCGCTGTTAAGCGGCCGACTTCCTGACTCGAGTGGACGCCGTCCGCGGCGACGCCGACAACGAGCCCTGCTCAAAGCGGACAGGCACTGCCGTCGGCGTTCGTCCCCATTCTTGCCGTACACCTTAGGCGATGCTTAAGAAAACCTAAGTTTTCGGCCAGAGGCTCGATTATTCTTAATGTTTCAATGTAAATCCTAAGATTGTAATAGAAATGTTGGGTTTTAGTTCAAGTTCTGAGACGATGAATTGCTTAACCCATGATTTCTTAAGCATTTCGCAGGGTGTACTCGTTCTGATCGTCTTGGCAGGAGACGCCGGCCCGAAACTTCACGCTGGCTGGGGACTGGACGAGCCAGAAGTTCCTCGGCAGCATGGAGGGCGCGGTGCTCGCCGGCAAGCTGGCGGCGGAGGTCGTCTGCGACCGGGCGGCGGGGCGACCGACAAAGGGCGTGAAGGCGGTGCCGGAGCTCAGGGGCAACGTTCGGGGGGGGGGGCAGGATGAGGAGGGGACACAAACACAGGCTCAAATATGCGTCGATTCCCAGGAGAAGACAGGAGCTATGGGAAGTCAAGGGGGAGACGAGCTTCCAGGAAACATGGAACATATGTGGAATCCTGGGGTAGGTGCCTATCTATCTGTGTTCCTGGGCCCCTTCGCGGGCCTCCCCAGCTTCGAAGCAAACATCAAAAGGTCTGTCGTATTTGTGGCCTCCCGCGGCCCTCGTCGGGCCCCAGGGCCGTCAGAAAATGTATGATTCATTGTTTTGCCGATCGGAGCGAGCCCTCGCATCCCCCCCCCTCCCCCCCCCCTGGAGTAGATCTTGGCTGTTTTTGGCGCCTGTTTCGAGCAGGTGGAGTCTCCCCCATGGGACGCCCTGTTCCAAGCAGTCGCACGAAGCAGAGGTCCAGAGCCAGACCCCCCACCCTCCCGTCCTCCCCTTCCTCCAATCGTGTCGAAGCGCCGAATAAGAAAATGCTCCCATGCGAAGCTGGCCCAGGGGGGACGGAGCGGCATTGCCGGACACCGCGTCGTGCCAAAAAACAGGCGTCGGATGTCGGCATCGTGTAACCAATCCCCATCCCCATCCCCTTCGAGACCCCCACCAAATTACCACACCAGTTGGGGATGCACCCCTCGAAACCCGCAGCGAGCGACCTATATCCCCACCCAGGGGGGTCGGCCAGCGGGACCCAGGCCACGCCGCTGGGGATGGGGATCGGTTCAACAGTACTCAGGGTGCTTGGGCTCGGGGGCCTCCCCCGCCTGCCTCCCTCGGTCGCCCTCTTCCCTCCCTCCCTCCTCCTCCCCCTCCCTCCTCCTCCCCGTCCCCCTCCCCCTCCTTCGCCTCCTCCTCCGCCTCCGCCTCCTCCTCCTCCTCCTCCGCCTCCTCCTCCGCCTCCGCCTCCTCCTCCTCCGCCTCCGCCTCATCTCCTCCTCATGTCCTCCTCATCTCCTTCTTGCCGCTGCTTCAACATGGTCCAGCACGCCGCGCGCACCCGGTCGCTGAAGCGCGGGAGCGGATCGGCCCTGCCCCGAGCTGAGACGCAAGGAACACGTCTGGGCTCGGGGGGGGAGGTACATCGACCTCCATCACCACACACCAAACCACCCCAACCCAGCCCGAGGGCCCCAATCTGCCCTCCCTTTCCAGTGGAGGGGGGGGGTCGGGGAACATCGAAAAAACACGTACGGAGACCATGCCCCCCAACCCGAAATTCGGGTCCTCGGGGGCCCCTCGCCGATCCGGCGGCGAGGAAGCGCCCACCCCCCGGGTCGATGCTGCCTCTTCCCTGAGCCGGTCCCCTGGTAGTCTTCTTGGGCCACAGCTCGGGCCGCCAGCGGCCAATCTGGGGGGCCACGTGCGAACCCTACCCCGACCCCCCACAATTTCTGAGGGGGAGGGTGGCGTAGGGGTAGGGGTCAAGCTAGCCAGCTCGAGCGAGTCAAGCATGGCATGCCCATTCCCACCCGCCCTCCCACAACATAAGAAACAGTGATGGCACAACTGGGGGCTGCGCGGGCATTTGAGTGCGAGTGGAGGATACCCCAGGACACCGCATTGACGTCCGCGCGGGATGTGCGCCGCGTGGGGTAGGGGTAGGGTTCGCATGCAGCCCCCTGCAATCAGGGCGATCCAGGCACTTCCCGAACGCACTCGGCGAGGCGCAGCCGCTGGCGGGAGGCTGGGAAGATGCCGAGAACCAACGAAAGCGCACCAAACCTCGAACTGCGACCCTGAAGCGGTCCCACATGGTCTTGACCCCTCCCTTGGGAGCGGCTTTTCATTCTGAGTCGCTTTTTGACCGTCCGTGGCGCCGGTGGGTCCTCCCAGAGGCAGCAAGAAGCTGCAACGAAAACCTTCAGTTACGATTTTTTCGCAACGCGCCGGGTGCACTCG